AGAAACAGACAAACAAAAAATAACATTGATTGGTGACATATTTTTGGTACCACTATGTGTTTCCAATAAACACTCTAAACACTCATAGCCTATATCTCTACGTCATGATATGGTTTGATTTTATAGAGTTTCATTTTTGCTCACGTGGTTAGGTTTAGAATTCCCAAATATTATTTCTTGTAGAAGAGGACTAGAAGCATTTTTAGATTTAACTAGGTGAAACCATATCATGTTCTAACTATACTTTGATCTTGTTCTATCTATACTTTGATTTTGTGTACTTTGAGAAGGACCTCACGACAACATGCATCAGACATGTCAAATCAAACATTTACATTGTTTAGAAGGAAAATACGCAAAAAAAAAATAGAAGACCTATTAAGTCTCTTGTGTCAAACGTAAGAACATAGTCTCATTTCTTTCGGGCGTTAAGAGTATTACTGCCAGAGCAGGAATAACATAAGGAGACATCATTGACTAACGTTTCGAAAACTTAAAAAATCACACAGTTAAACAAAAGTATGTTCTTTCCCGAGAAGACAATGATAGTCTTTTATTTTTTTTTTAAAACTAACAATATAAATTTAATTTTTTTGAGCAAGCTGATACTTTAATTGTTGATTTGACACTTTCTCTTTTCTAACAAATCGTGTAGTTTTCAGGTTCACTTTTTTGCAAAGCGAATTCTCTAAATGCCTAAAACTGGAATGAGAGTAAGAAAAAATGAATCCAATAAAGAGTTGTCCCAAAGTTAGTTGTAATAAGAATCAGAAAAAGGGAAAAAAATCTCACCTATGACTTAAGTGAACTCAATTTGTGGATGTTTGGCAACGTTTCTTATTATATTTTGTTTTTACAAAAAAAGTGTTGTTCATGCTATTTTGGTTTCCAAATTTTAATTTAGTATGAATGACAACATAAAGAGCAATGGATCCCAAATTTTGTTTCCAAAGCTTGCTCTTTTAAAAATTCAAACAAACAATTCTTCTTTTTTATTTATGACACAACAAACTATTCTTGTTTTTAATGTACGACACTTTTTTAATAGTTCTTAATATCAAAAACAATATAAAAATCATCGGAGTTCTTTTTTCTATATACATCATGAATCTTAAATCAAATTGAATTAAAGGTTATATATGATTCTATGAGGTAAATTGCTCAATTTATCTAGATCTCACTCTATTTTCTGTTTCTCAATGTTTTTCTTCTTATCCGAATTTGGAACCTTCCTATATGGTTGATCGACCTTCTTGTCAGGCGACCTTTGAGAGTAGTGGTTTGTGTTTCGGTATGAAGGCTGC